GTAGTATATTAGCACAGATTGAGAATTGGTTTACAGAAAGGAAACAGATTGGGAATAAATGTTTTTTTCTAAGTGGCAGGCAGTAATTAGCAGGGTGCCGCAAGGATCAGTGCTTGGGCCCTAGCAATCCACTTCACTCTATGTTGAGGGAACCAAATACAACATGACCAGCTTTGTTGATTACACAAAACTGGGTGGGATTGAGTTCTGAGGAGAATACAAAGAGGCTTTGAGGTGATTTAGACACTTTGAGTGAGTGGACAAACACATGACAAATGCAACACAACATGATGAAATGTGGACGGAAAGGAAGAGTATTATTTAAATGGTGATATATTGGGAAGTGTAGATGTACAAAGGGATTTGGGTGTCTTTGTACATCAGTCAATGAAAGTCATCAGGCAAGTGCAGCAAGCATTTAGGAGGCAACCAGTATGGTAGCCTTCATTGTAAGAGGATTTGAGTTCTGAAGTAGGAATGTCTCATTACAGTTATAAAGGGCCTCGGTGAGACCACACTTGGATTATTGTCTGCAGTTTCGATTGCCCTATCTAAGAAAGGATATACTTTCCGTAGAGGGAATGCAGTGGAAGTTCACCCAGCTGATACTAGGAGAGGCAGGAATATCCTATGAACAAAGATTGGTTTGACTGGGCCTGTATTTACTAGAGTTCAGAAGGATAAGTGGGATCTGATTGAAATGTAGAAAATTCTAATAAGTTTGGACAGACTACATGCAGGGAGGACGTTTCCCCTGGTTGGGGAATCTAGAACCAGGGTCACAGTCTCAGGACATGGCTAGACCATTTAGGAATGAGATGAGGAAATATTTTGTCATTGAGAACGTTGTGAACCTGTGGAATTTTCTACCACTGAAAGCCTTGGAGGCCAAGTCACTGGATAGATTCAAGTAGGAGATAGATTCTTTTTAGGTTTTAAAGGCATCACAGGGTATGGAAAAAAGGGGGAATATGGCATTGAGATTGAGAATCAGCTATGATCATATTGCATGGCAGCTCTTTCTGGGCTTATTCTCAAACTTTTCTGTCTCCAGAAGTGTTATTCATTGTCGTTTAAGCCCAGTTATAATTTGTACTCTGCAGTCTTTGCATCATAAAATTTGAGAGTAAACTTTTACCAGAGCAGCTGAATGTAAGATGTGCTGCGTTGAATCATGATGCCTGCTCTTGCTCCCATCTTTGATGTGTTTCTGGGTCAAACAGTGTTCTGTAGTTGAAAGGATATGACACACGCTGGTGTACATATGTTGCACATACAGCATAAAGAATGCATACATTTATTTACTCTCAAGGGATGTTAATATCATGGGAATAGGGCTGGGTGAAGTCTCAGCTATGACATAACCAGCTGGTGTGTGATACTGAAGACTGTAGGAAACACGGAGCTCAGAAAGACTCAGCAAAGTTAGAGCTTAATGGCTTAGTGCAAATGAATCCAGACGGGGGAAAAAAGTGTTGGGCAAAGAAGTTGTAAACTGACTCACATTAATAGACAATAATTAAGCTGCATAATTAAATAAACTCCCCTTAAGTATGTTAGTGGTAATGGCACAATAAATGAAAAAAGTCTATTTAAAATCCCGACCAGCTCAAATCTATGTTATTAATTTAAGAATAATTTCTAACACCAGTTGAAGCTGAGTGTTTCCAATTTGCATGCCTCAGTAATTGTGTGGTTAATGAGTTGAGTGGTACATCAGCATTTGACTTTAAATTAGATAGTGGCATGTTCTAATTCTTTAATACTTTCTTGTTGATTTAACACATTTATTTCTCAGGATCTGCCATTCGTAAGCTTGAAAAGGACTGAAAAATGGATAAGTATTTGTGCTGCAGTGAAATGACTCGGTCAAAAAATTATTGATAACATTTACTAAAAACACTGTGACAGTTAATATGTGTGCATATGAATTAGGTGTTTGAAATGTTGAAAACTATTTGCAACATTTGGTTTCTGCTTTGCAGGGGTTTCACAGCCAGTGTTACACTGAGTGCTTGCTGACTGAATGTGAAAATTTAAATAATTCAAGTACATCTCACAGAACACGCCTTCAGTATAATTAATCCTTTATAAAGCAAGCAAAATTTTGAAGAAACAACTTGTATTTATACAGCGCCAACCACCTTCTCAGAAAGTCCCAAGCTAAGACATTACTTGTTGAAGTGCATTTTTTAGAAAAGTTCTTTCTTGGGATGAGTAACACTGGCAAGGCAAGCATTTGTTCCCCATTCCCACTTGTCCCTGAGAAAGTGGTGAACAACTGCCCTCATCTGTGGAGAGAAATCAGAGTTAATGTTTTGGTTCTGAGGAAGGGTCACCCGACCTGTAACGTTAACTCTGATTTCTCTCCACAGATGCTGCCAGATCTGCTGAGCTTTTCCAGCTTTTTTGTTTCTAATCTTTCCTTTTAATGTTGTAATGAAGTGGACGTGCATGGGATTCTTCCATTCCTGCACTCATGCCTTTGAGTAACATTGCCATTTTATCAGGTTCAACCGTAAACAGTACCACTGATTGAGCTGTTTTGCTCTGCTTCTTCAAACAGCTGATTTGACTACTTCATGAGTCCACTACTACACTTGATATTTGTGATATCAAAAATGTGAGATTGTCAGATTTTGAAGATATGTCTGTAGTTGGAAGGCAATTGAACATTTGTCCTTCAGGGAAGGAAAATCTGTCCTCCTTATCTAATCTGGCCTACATGTGACTCCAGAGCTATAGCGATGTGGCTGACTCTCAACTGTCCTCTGAAATGGCCTAGCAAGTCACTCAGTCATAGCAATCGCTACCGAGTCTCACGTTCCCTCCCTAACTTCATTACGGGTCTACCTACTTGCACATGGACGGCAGCAGTCCACCACTATTTTCTCAAATGCAACCAGGGACAGGCAAGAAATGCTGGGCCAACCAGTGATGCCCATGTCCCATGAGTGAATGAAAGAAAAATATCCCCAAACCTGTAAAACCAGTTATATCTTTCAATCTGAGATAGCAGGAACCGCAGATGCTGGAGAATCCGAGATAACAAGGTGCAGGGCTGGATGAACACAGCAGGCCAAGCAGCATCATAGGAGCAGAGAGGCTGAATCTCTCAGTCATAAAGAATTGTCATACTTCTACATAATTCATCTTGGATAGCGTATATTTTCCCTTAGGTTCGCAAATGTTCCTCTAAGACAGAGGTGGGGAACCTTTTTAAATTGGAAGGCCACAATTTATTTAACCAAGATCCTATTAGGCTGCATTCTGAGGATTTAACAAATACAGATAACAAGGTATAGAGCTGGATGAACACAGCAGGCCAAGCAGCATCAGAGGAGTAGGAAAGCTGACGTTTCGGGCCTAGACCCTTCTTCAGAAATGGGGGAGGGGAAGGGGGTTCTGAAATAAATAGGGAGAGAGGGGGGAGGCGGATAGAAGATAGATAGAGGAGAAGACAGGTGGAGAGGAGACAGACAGGTCAAAGAGGCGGGGATGGAGCCAGTAGAGGTGAGTGTAGGTGGGGAGATAGGGAGGGGATAGGTCAGTCCAGGGAGGACGGACAGGTCAAGGGGGCAGGATGAGGTTAGTAGGTAGGAGATGGGGGTGCAGCTTGAGGTGGGAGGAGGGGATAGGTGGGAGGAAGAACAGGTCAGGGAGGTGGGGACAAGCTGGGCTGGTTTTGGGATGTGGTAGGGGGAGGGGAGATTTTGAAGCTTGTGAAATCCACATTGATACAATTGGGCTGCAGGGTTCCCAAGCGGAATATGAGGTGCTGTTCCTGCAACCTTCGGGTGACATTGTTGTGGCACTGCAGGAGGCCCAGGATGGACGTGTCGTCTGAGGAATGGGAGGGGGAGTTGAAATGGTTCGCGACTGGGAGGTGCAGTTGTTTAGTGCGGACTGAGCGTAGGTGTTCCGCAAAGCGGTCCCCAAGCCTCTGTTTGGTTTCCCCGATGTAGAGGAGGCCACAACGGGAACAGCGGATATAGTATACCACATTAGCAGATGTGCAGGTGAACATCTGCTTGATGTGGAAAGTCTTCTAGGGGCCTGTGATGGGGGTGAAGGGGGAGGTGTAGGGGCAGGTGTAGCACTTCCTGCCGTTGCAGCGAAAAGTGCCAGGTGTGGTGGGGCTGGAGAGGAGTGTGGAGTGGACAAGGGAGTCCCGGAGAGAGTGGTCCCTCCGGAAAGCAGATAAGGGTGGGGAGGGAAAAATGTCGTTGGTGGTGGGATCGGATTACAGATGGCAGAAGTGTTGGAGGATGATGCGTTGGATCCGGAGGTTGGTGGGGTGGTATGTGAGGATGAGGGGGATACTGTTTTGGTTGTTATTGCGGGGAAGGGGTGTGAGGGATGAGTTGTTGGAAATGCGGGAGACACGGTCGAGGGCGTTCTCGACCACTGAGGGGGGTAGTTGCGATACTTGAAAAACGAGGACATCTGCGATGTACGAGAGTGGAATGCCTCATCCTGGGAGCAGATGCGGTGGAGGTGAAGGAATTGGGAATAGGGGATGGCATTTTTGCAGGAAGCATATTTTTTGTCAACATATTTAGTAATTTTAATTAAAGCCTGCTATTATATGAGGACTTCAAACAAAATAAAAATTCAGCAAAGACACATTTATTTGTTTGGCTAAGCTGACAATAGAACTAATAATAAGTGAGAAGCTTAGTCATTAAATGGTTTGTTGTCTTTTTTCTGATTGCTTATTGCAAGTTAGGAATCAGATATTTGGTTCCAACATCGTTGACCGTAGCTTTAATTGGTTCTCCAGCTGAATATCCCTTATCTGAGATCTCAAGAGCATTTTAATTTATGTCACATATGAAAATGTTGATTCACAACAGTAGGTTGTGCAAAAACAAGACAGCATTCAACAAGCATGTAGACATGGGTATTCAATGGCATTTTTCCATATTTCAATGGGATCCTTCTTCGCATCAAATAGAGACTTCAGAATTATCTTCTGAGAGCTCAATCAATTCCACCTGTTAGTCATCAGGTGCTTTGGAGACATCAACCTGGTGTGGTTGAAAAGTTAGTTTCAATGTGAGATCATATTTCTCAAAGTCTGCAAACCTTTCATTGTATTCTTCAATCAAGGAGTCTAGAACAGCTGTGTATTCTTTCACATCGCACTTCCATAAAGATTTGCTAGTATCCTGTTCATTAGTTACCTTTGCCAGTTCAGAAAAGTGTTCCACTGAAAGTTCTGATTGGGTAAGGAGAGTTTTGAACAAGGTCAGCTTTTTCTGAAAAGCCTGGATTTTTAGCCACATATCATACATATTACCTTGCAAAAAAATTCAGACCATTTTGCTTTGACATTATATCACACAAAAATGCAGCATTTCGACTGAAATCCTCTTTTGACAATTCACATGGTTCATTCAGTTCCTCAAAAAAATCTTGTGATTTGTTTTCACAAAGATAAAAGTTTTACAAGTATTTGTCCTTGTGACAACCAGCAAACTTTAGAATGATATGGCAGATCCACACTGAATGTTTCATCACCAAGCTGAAGCATGATGCAAAATTGGCGATGCCATGATGCATTTGCTTGAATGTCATTTACAATACCTATAACTTTATTTAATGTGTCACTTAAAACAGCAGATTTGGCACAGAGATCCTGTTGATGCAAAAAACAATGAAAGGAAATCGAAGTATCTGGATCTGGCAATTCTTTTTGCAGTAATGTAACAAATCCCTCACATGGAAGGTGCACTGTCTGTGCATACACTTACTAAATTCAGTTTCGCTTCATGCGCATTTTTCATTGAAGATAACGAAGATATCAATTCCACGTGTCTACCCAAAGCCAGTAACTCCTCATGGCAATGAAAATATGCAATTATAACGCCAATAAAAAATAACACCTGCACTGAGTCAATAATGTCAGTGGATTCATCCAAGGCAATCCAAGTGGGGATGTTCGCCGATGATTGCACAATGTTCAGCTCCATTCATGACTCCTTAGATACTGAAGCAGTCCGTGTTCAAATGCAACAAGATCTGGACAATATCCAGGCTTGGGCTGACAAGTGGCAAGTGACATTCCTGCCACACAAATGCCAGGCTATGACCATCACCAATCAGAGACAATCTAACCACCGCCCCTTGACATTCAATGGTATTACCATCACTGAAATCCCCAGTATCAACATCCTGGGGTTATCATTGACCAGAAACTCAACTGGACTCACTACATAAACACAGTGGCTAAAAGGGCAGGCCAGAAGCTAGGAATACTGCAGCGAGTAACTCACTTCCTGACTCCCCAAAGCCTGTCCATCATCTACAAGGCACAAATCAGGAGTATGATGGAATACTCCCCACTTGCCTGGATAAGTGCAGCCCCAAGAACTCTCAAGAAGCTTCGCATCATCCAGGACAAAGCAGCCCGCTTGATTGGCACTACATCCACAAACATCCACTCCCTTTACCACTGACACTGTGTAGCAGCAGTGTGTACTATCTACAAGATGCATTGCAGAAATTCACCAAAAATCCTCAGACAGCGCCTTCCAAACCCACGACCACTTCCATCTAGACGGACAAGGGCAGCCGACATATGGGAACACCGCCACCTTCAAGTTCCCCCTCCAAGCCACTCATCATCCTGACTTGGAAATATACCGCCATTCCTTCACTGCCGCTGGGTCAAAATCCTGGAATTCCCTCCCTAATGTCATGTGCGTCAACTTGCAGCAGGTGGACGGCAGCGGTTCAAGAAGGCAGCTCACCACCACTTCCTCGAGGGCAACTAGGGATGGGCGAGAAATGCTGGCCAGCCAGTGATGCTCACATTCCGCAAATGAATAGAAATAAAGAATCAAATAAGAAATGTCTTCGCTTTGGCGTATTGAATGAAGTTGTTCTGTTACATTGGGGGCTAATTCATGTTGCCGATCAGATATGGTCCTTCTTGAAAGAGGTAGTTGTTTGTAATTATTAATCTTGTCTGAATCTAAACATCCTACAACTTCAACAGTGCATTCTTTTATGATTTCCACATCACTAAATGGCTTACCTCTTCTTCCAGTTGCTTCAAGTGATGTCAGTCCCTTGTCCTGACATCGTTTTAAATACTTGCGGATTTCTTCATTGTATTTCTTCACTGTTGCAATTATGGTATCGTAGAGTAAACACATCATTTTATCTTTCGTAACAACTACGTAATACTGCAGTTCCCATTCTTCATTGAATACTCTGTTCTTTTCCTTTAATGTTCTTTTCTTAGTTTTTGACATGACTGGGTTATCAGTAAAAATTTTAAAAATGGTACACAGATTTGAAAAGGCAGATTTAGTATTTGTGGAAGGCCACAACTAATACCCCAAAAGGCTGGATGTGGCCTTAAGGCTGCAGGTTCCCCACCCCTGCTCTGAGATCTCTGAAGTCGTCCTCTTGTTGAGATGACTTGCCTTGATCACTGGCATTTTATTCTTCAACCAATTATCCAATTATTGAGAGCACAGCTTATGTTTCTGCCCAGACGTGAGAAGTAGGTTTCTGATCTCATACACCTGTTAAATATAATGTTGGCATCTGCATTTCTTCGATTTTAAGTGATTTTCTACCTGCCCCATGCAGTTCTCTATCAGACACTTGTCTTTTCACTCTCTTCAACCGATTGATTTTCTTAGATAATGCACTAACACTTCCCCATGTGTCACATTTAATGATTTTAATTTTAATCACTTTAATGATCATTAACATGTATGATCTTTGTCATAACTGGTTCAGATGAGTCACCAGTTACCCCTTGGAAAAATTCATTTCTTTCTTCCAAAGGTGAGATATCATCATATTAAGTTTTTTTAAAATTCATTCACAGGACAAGGGCATCGCTGGCTAGGCCATCATTTATTGCATCTCCCTAATTACCCAGAGAGCAGTTG